CAAAGTCAAAATCCTGCAACAGCAGTGCCCAGCTCATCAATTTATTATTATTTGCTCTGATAAATCGCAGCCATAGCAGTGGGGAATGATCTGTACAAAGAATAAAATGTCTTCCCCATATGTACGGTCTGAGCTTCTGCAAAGTCCATACAGTTGCCAAACACTAACATTCTATCGTTGAAAGGTGTTGTTCACCTGCTTGCAGCTTCTTGCTCATGAATGTTACTGGATGAAGGTCTCCGTTGTCTTCCTCCTGGCTCAGCATGGCTCTTGTTTCGACTCTGGACTCATCTGCACCACTGGTGTAGTCCCTCTGGATCTCTGGAACTCTCAGGATACAACCGGTCACCAACGCAGTCCTCCATCTCTCGAATGTTTCCTCATATTCACTCAACCTTGTTGCCTTAACTGCCAGTGGAGGTGACGGCATCCCAGTGGAACTATTTAAAATCTTAAAAGATGATGCTGTTGAAGTGCTTCACTCAATATGCCAGCAAGTTTGGAAAACTCAGCAGTGGCCAGAGGATTGGAAAAGATCAGTCTACATCCCAATCCCAAAGAAGGGCAGTGCCAAAGAATGCTCCAACTATTGTACAATTGCACTCATTTCACACACTAGCAAAGTTACGCTCAAAATCCTATAAGGCAGGTTTCAGCAGTATGTGGCCCGAGAACTCCCAGAAGTACAAGCTAGATTTCGAAGGGGCAGAGGAACTAGAGACCAAATTCTTAAAGAAATGGGTGTGCCTGGCCACCATATTTATCTCCTGAGTGGGACAAGAAGCAACAATTAAAACTGGATATGGAACAACTGATTGGTTCAAAATTGGGAAAGGAGTACGACAAGGCTGTATATTGTCTTATTTAACTTATATGCACAATAAAGCATGCAAAAGGGTGGACTGGAGGAATCTCAAACCGGAATTTGCAGATGATACCACTCTGATGGCAGAAAGTGAGGAGGAATTAAAGAACCTCTTAATGATGGTGAAAGAGGAGAGTGCAAAAATGATCTGAAGCTCAACATTTAAAAAATGGTCATGGTCACTGGTCCCATCACCTCCTGGCAGATAGAAGGGAAAGATATGGAGGCAGTGACAGATTTTACTTTCTTGGGCTCCATGATCAGTGTAGATGGTGACAGCAGTCACGAAATTAAAAGATGCCTTCTTCATGTTGGTAGCTTCGGTGAAGCTATCCATCCATCTCGTCCTCTGTTTTCCCCTTCTCCTCTTGCCTTCACACTTTCCC